AAATAAGTTTAATTAATTTTAAATATTATTTTATATATTTTTACAGATAAAAAAAATGTAAAAATACATAGAGCACGAACCCAGCGTAGGAAAATATTCATCTCTCAGTCTCCATCCCAATCGAAAATTCTCATGGATATTTTTTTAAAAAGTTGTATAAAAATAAGAAGTTTGTGAATTAAATATAAGGAAGCCACTCCATTTATTATTAATTGATTTTAAGTTGGATGTAAATTTTATGTTGAGTCCACATGTACAATTTTTACATGGTATTAAAACTCATATTTTATCTTGAAAAATCCGTTGTTAACCCACTTAACATGACCTAAGATTGCAAGTACTAGGCCTACATTTATGGAGATGTGGTAACATTCATAACGAGTCTACATATGTGAGGGGGCATATTAACTAGAAAAATTTTATATTAAGTATAAAAATAAAAAATTTATGGGTTAAATATAAAGAAAATCACTTCACTTTTGCTCAATTAATTTTAAGTTAAATATAAATTTTGTGTTAAGTTCACATGCACAATTTTCACAGTTTCAATATGAGTAATGGAAATTTCTCAACAATTAAGGTTTCCTCAACTACGTGAGAATTAAGTCCCTAGTAGTCGATCTCCAACAAAAAGGTGAGGCGTGTCCTATCGTTCGTGCAAGGGGTTCTGCTGTTTGTGTAGGCAGATACTTATGTTTCTCCTATTGGTTTAGTTTCTTCCATTAGTTAAGGGTGGTAATGGCAAGGTGAAATATGTGTCAGAGGGAAGACGGAAGAGCTATTGGTTGGTTTTCCAATACAGGGACACGGAGAAGTAAAGGGCTTTCTAGTGCATGGGAAAAGAGGCATCAAGCTCTGAAGCACAATGTAGCCAAGCGAGAGGGGACAAGCCGATTTGGTGGTAGGGGCCATGTAGAGCCCTGGGGTACAGCAACAAACCAAGTTGATGATAAGGTAGTCGCAAGACTAGGCTAATTTCTTTAGTCTTGTTTGGTTTTATACCTTTTGGAGCGTGTTTGGTTCACAAAGCCTTGGAAGCTATGAAGTCATGAATTGTTGCTTGCATGCACTTCGGAGAAAACATTCCAAGGGCATGAAGTATAATCGATTACAAATGGGTATAATTGATTATATACTCTTTACTTGTTTTTTTTTTCTTCTTTATATACTCTTGTTCTCTCTTCTCTCTGCATTTAGCTTGATCTATATTTTAAAGTCAAATTGCACTAATCCTTTTAGTTTGGGGTTGGTGCATTTAACTTTTTAAAACACAAAAATTTGTATTTGAACTCTGTGTAAATAAAAAATACACACTTACCTCTCTAAAGCTTGAAAACGTATTTTTGACTTTTTTTTATTTGAAAAATGTGTATGTAACACCAAGTGTTTTTGAGATTTTAACTTCAATATTAATAAACTAAACTTAGAGTCAACGATTGCACATTTTGCAAACCAAAAGAAGTTTGTAAACACATTTTCATGAGCGAAGGGTTCAGTGCACATTTTTGTTACTTTTGGGTTAAGTATACACACCCTAAGCCACATAAGGGTTAGGTGCAATTTTCCCAATTTAAGCGACCCAATTCAGCCCAATCTGCTTATAGGGCTGCAGTATCAAGCCTACTAATTAGCTAAAAATTTCTCATTTAAATTCTTCTCTTTTCTTTCTTTCTTTCCCTTTTTTTTTTATGCAATCATTTAAATTCTTTGTTAAAAGTGTTCAAATCTAATTCAAAATGATTGATTCAAGCCAACATAAATCTAACTAATCAATCCAAAAAACAAATTTGAGTACCGGCTTTTGTCTTTCCTACCCCAAATTTTTTTACTTTTTCATGAAATAGTGATGATAAGTTTGTGGTTAAATGATTGACTACTAAAATAATTTAAAATTACATTAAAAAAAAAAAAAAAGAGAGTTCAAGCACCCGCTCATGCACTCAAGCTCGCAAGCAAGCTTGAGTTTGTTTTAGTACTCACAAGTTAAAGTATTTTGAGCTCAATAAACATAAAAAAAAAAAAAAAAAAGAGTTCAAGCACCCGCTCATGCACTCAAGCTCGCAAGCAAGCTTGAGTTTGTTTTAGTACTCACAAGTTAAAGTATTTTGAGCTCAATAAACATTAACACTTGACTGCATCTCGAATATTTAAGATGAATTTGAGCACAATACTTATATGCTTGACTATGCTCGGCTCATTAACAACTTTAACTGTGAGCACTCCTAATCCTGTCATTGAAAGATTGTTCAATTAAAACCATCATGTTCTGAGGGAAGGTGATTTCTTCTTTTTTTGGACCAGATGGCCACCAGCCTTCATCTTGCAGCTTGCCTGCTTCCTCATGCTTTCTCTGTACTCTATGAAAACCATTGGATGCCAACAAGAACAAGCGTGGAGTAACATTTGCACGTAGTTTTGTGTAGTTTTTAGTATTTAATTGGCCTCTGGCCAGTTTTACTGCCATAAATAACATAAAAATATAAAACAAATCCATACAAACCAATTCATTTAAGATTGGGGAAAATACCATAGCATTACTGTTTATGTAATTAATAGATATACATGTCTCACAAGCAAACCCAAAAACCATGATAAAAACTAACTCAAACATTCCATTATTTGGTGATGCTGTACATAAAACAGCACCAAATTCACCAATCCTATTCTTTTTCCCACACTGCATAATTTTCTCTCCCATCCCATGCAGATATGTATCCTACTTGGGGCGACATGCTGTCTCACTAGGTCCTGCTTGTCGTGCCAGCTGAACATTTAGGACAACAGAACAAAAGATTAGGAAGAAAAAAAAAAAAAAAACATTTACATGAAACAAAGGAAGAACATTGATACCTGAAAATAAGCTTCAAGCTTCTTCTTCAGCGTTGTGTATTCTTTCTTCAGTTGCTGGAAAGTCCTAATACATCTGCTTGAATCATTCAAAAGCAGAACCATGCTTAAGTTTTAATTTCATGTATTTTTCCCTTGTTTACTTAAAGAATAACAGGGGAGAATCAGAATCCCAGTGTCAAAACTCGATATGGGCCATCAATGGAACATAAGGAAAAGGAATTAAAGAGTTGCTATAAGGAGAAAATGCCTAAGATGAAAGATTACCCTTCGCCATTTCCAGCCCTGCAATATTCCCTGAATTGGGTGCACTCAGCTTTCACCTTTTCAGCACCAATGCTACAACAAATACCAAAAGATTTTAAAGCCAATGCAGAATATAATTGATGAAACCTCTAACTAGTATTGTATTCTGTAAGGTTTATATTCTTTTTATACCTAGAGCTGCTTCCCTTGAACTGATGCATATATCCATCCAACTTATTGAAATCAAGAGGTTTCTTCTCCCTACAGAATCACAGGAATTGTTTTCTAAATAACAATTGCAACCAAATGATTCCTGTATATTTCCATGTCATTATCTTTGTTGTTACTGTTAGGATATGGGAAAACTGATAAACTTACAGTGCCTGTTCTATGTTTAGGATCAATCTGGCTGAATCACGGTAATATGACGTGACAACTTCTTCAACAAAATTGGGGTTAGCATCATCTTGGAGTTCCTCCAACTGGATAAATTGTTCATCAAGATATCCCTGCAAAAATTGATTTAGCTTATCTAGTCATGACTAATTAACCACAAAAAGAACATCAAAAACATATATATGGTAGCTAAGACGAGCTTTCTGCATATTTATCTTTTCTTTTTATGCCTCCACTAATCTTTACTAAGGTTAAGAAGAAAGCAAAGAAACCTGATCAAAGAAGGATTGCCTCATGAGGGCAAGCTGTCGGTGCGGATGATTTCTATCCATTGAGAAAGTAAACTTCAGAAGAAAACTAGGAAACAAGCCGGAGTACAGAGAGAAAAATTAGGGAGGGTGGAGGGGGGTAAATTAAGGAAATACTAGAAGGGTTGAGTGATGATGGAAAACGTAGGGAGGCAAGAGGGTTTATATAGTAGAGGAGAGAATCATTTTACCTGCCAAGCATAGGTTAAAAAGAGTACAACAACAAAAAAGACTAGTGGAAGAGAGAATGCATGTGGACAGTAACTTGTTTCAAGGAGAAACAGAAACTTTAGTTCTCAGCAATGTGGGCATTCCATATGTTGGCGGTTGGCAATTCTGATTCTCTAACACATAAAAAGATATTTGTTTATCATTTTATATCAACTCATGTACCCATGACTAAAATGCATGCAAGATTCTTTGATACCCATTTCTTTTGGCCGATTTTATGCACTACCTCTCCGGACCCCAGTGATGCTGTAAAAAGTTCTACTAGTGAAGTGCCTACATAGTAACTAATGCATGGTAAACTCAAATAACACAGAAGTTAGGTTTCAGGTTAGAACTAGAACATCATTCGACCTTGTTATTTAACCAAGACATCTTCAGCTAGAAAAGATCGTTACAGGTTCAATAATCAACTCCAGGACCACACCATAGGCAGCTTTGGCTCCACATCCGCCTAAACTTTATTCAAATAACCTGAAGAAGACATGATCCTCGTAACAAACCTGAAAAAAGTAGAATCCATGATCTTAAAGCCACCAATGTGCTGGTGATAGCACACCCACCATAACCGGAAAAGCTTTCATAAATGGCATATTTACTGATGTAAGGAGAATAATCTGCAAACCATCCAAATGTTAATTGTTTATGCCATGCATCAATTATAAAGTCATTTGATAGTTTTATCAAGAATATCAAATCCCACTTTCATCAGGGATTGCAGCTTGTGGGTCTCAACAGAAGCATATCCCCATATTGAAGCATAACTATTACAGAAGAAAAACAGAAATCAAATGGATATGCCTAAGTTAGTGAAGTTACAGTATGTTCAATATTAAAAAATGGGAACAGCCCCTCAGGAAGTGTCTAGAAGCTTGACTCCAAATTCGAATTCTCAATATTGAGCCTTGAAACTGTGTGTAGGAATTTGAAAAGGGGAGGGCTATCTGGCTGAGCAGATCACCCCATCAAAATTTATCACAAAAAATAAGAAAGTTTTCTTCTCATTTATAGAGCAACAGCTGGAAATGCACCTTGGTGATGGGCTACCGGTGGTTGATGCTTCCAGGGGGAGCACCAATAGACATTTCTAAGACCTTGGACGTTACTGGAGAAGATGAAAGTCATTAGCATTCCTCAATGATGCTGGAAAATTACAAGATCATTATGACCAATGCAGCTAGAATCAAGAAATGTTTTCAAGTCTGGGGCTAAGAATACAATACGATCAAAAGATGAAAATAAAACATCAAGTTGGAATCCCCCTCACACTGAATCATTTGATATTTATACAAATAATAATAATAATAATAATAATAAGTGCAACTTTTTCAAGACCTCCAATTCACTTCTACGGACAAGAATCTAGTTCTCGTTCTGCCCAACTTTCTCCCAAATTTCTGCACTCTTTAATGTCTGCCAATGGTATAAGCAAGGCTGATCTAGAGGAGAAATGAAAAATAGCACAAGCTGACACACGTCTGCCAATGGGATAATTTCTGCTCGACTCACTAAAAACTCTAACAGCACGCACCTCTAATCTGATTGTTCTATTAAAACCATCATGTTCTGAGGGAAGGTGATTTTTCCCTTTTTTGGACTGGGTGGCCAACCTTCATTTTGCAGCTTGCGTGCTTTCTCATGCTCGATCACTACTCGATGGAAACTATTGGATGCTAACAAGTAACGAGCGTGGGGTTACATTTTCACGTAGTTTTGTGTAGTTTTTAGTTTGTAATTGGCCTCTGGCCATTTTTACTGCCATAAAAAAATAAAATAATAAATAATAAATAATAAGAACGAATCCATGCATACCAATTAATTTAAGATTGGGGAAAATACCCTAGCATTATCCTTTATGTACTTAATAGATATACATATATAGATATACATATCTCACAAGCAAACCCAAAAACCATGATAAAATCTAACTCAAACATTTCATTATTTGGTGATGTTTTACATAAAACAGCACAAAATTCACCAATCCTATTCTTTTCCCCACACTGCATAATTATCTCCCCCATCCCATGCAGATATGTATCCTACTTGGGGCGACATGCTGTCTCACTAGGTCCGGCTTGTCGTGCCAGCTGAACATTTAGGACAACAGAACAAAAAATTAGAAGGAGAAAGAAAAACATTTACATGAAATTTACTGGAGACAAAATGAACAAGTTAAGCGAAATGCTTTAAACAAAGGAAGAACAGTCATTCCAGAAACTAAGCTTCAAGCTTCTTTTTCTAAGTTGTGTATTCTTTCTTCAGTTGCTGGAAAATCCTAATACATCTGCTTGAATCAGGCAAAAGCAGAACCATGCTTAAGATAAATTCTAAATTCAGCTATTTTTCCTTTTTTTACTTGAAGAATAACAGGGGGGGATCAGAATTTCAGTGTCAAAACTTCATATGGGCAATCAATGGAACATAATGAAAAGGAATTAAAGAGTTACTAAAAGGAGAAAGTGCCTAAGATGGAGGATTACCCTTCTCCATTTCCAGCCCAGCAATATTCCGTGAATAGGGTGGACTCAGCTTTCACCTTTTCAGCGCCAACGCTACAACGAATAACAAAAGATTTTAAGGCCAATGCAGAATATACTTGATGATACCTCTAAGGCTCTAAAAATTATTATATTCTGTAAGCTTTATATTCTTTTAATACCTTGAGCTGCTTCCCTTGAACTGATGCATATATCCATCCAACTTATTGAAATCAAGAGGTTTCTTCCCCCTACAGAAGCACAGGAATTGTTTTCTAAATAACAATTGCAACTAAATGATTCCCGTATATTTCCATATCATTATAGATTAGATATTATTAGTACTATGTCATTATCTTTGTTGTTATTGTTAGGTTATCGGAAAACTGATAAACTTACAGTGCCTGCTCTATGTTTAGGACCAATCTGGCTGAATCACGGTACTATAACGTGACAACTTCTTCAACAAAGTTGGGGTTAGCATCATCTTGGAGTTCCTCCAACTGGATAAATTGTTCATCAAGATATCCCTGCAAAAATT